CAGCCCTTCTGCCTGGGAGGAAGCGGCCCCTCCACCTCTTGCCCGGATGTCAGGCAGGTTAGTTCCTCCCCTAGTGTCCCAGGTTCCCCTCAAGCTGCTGCCCGGCGCTGGGCGCAGAGGGAGCGTCGGAGTGAGTCCGTGCCGGGCCCTTAAGAGGAGCTGCTGGGCCTCCCGCAGCCTCCGCGACCCTCAGGGACAGTCCCCGCTGGTTTCACAGCCCGAGGTTGTGGGGATGTCTCTTCCCGGGCCTGGAGCCCTGGGCTGGGGGCCTGCTGTGGGGCTGGGACCCCTCCCTCCTCCGGGAAACCTCCACCACCGAGATTCCCTTTCGGGTTTAACCTGCGGCACCGGGTGTGGGCCCCGGGCTGCGTCTCCACGATTCAGCCCCGACCCGCCCGCCTCTCCATCCCTCCTACCGTCTGGGTGCTGCTTCAGTTCCCTGGTTGTGGGGCTTCTGTTCAGCCAGATCTCAGGACGCTCTGAGTGATGGTGGTTCTGTATTTTAGTTGTAATTTTGAGGTGGTTACGGGAGGCGGCAGGTGCGGCTGTTCCCTACGCTGCCATCTTGTTTCCTCTATTGACCTGGTCTTTTCATGTGATAATAAGCACCTTCTTCCTGACAGAAAAACTTGAGTGTTTCTTGCTACTTGTAGCTGAATGTGATCCCTCAGTATGTTCTCAGTTATGTCTGATTGTGTGTGATTAAATGTATGTGCATTTTTTATCAAAGGAATGCTTCTCTTGTTTTATAAAAATATTAACTTTTACTAAGCCATCTAATGCTAACTAATATTGTGTTTTCACATAGTGAGAGGATATATAAAATCCCATTTTAATTATAGATTTTCAGATGAACATTGTTTTCTTTATTCCATCATACATTATGAATCAATATTGTCATGTACATGCAAGTTTAGATTTTTTCCATCAGCGAAATTATATTTTTTAATATTTTATAGTTAACATTTTTTTGGCATGAAACTCATTTCTTATTCTTTTTTTAAAATATGTTTTTATTGATTTCAGAGAGAGGAAGGGAGAGGGAGAGGTAGAAACATCAACGATGAGAGTCATGGATTGGCTGTCACTTCACACCCCCTCCAGGTATTAAGCTTGCAACCTGGGTATGT